TTCTTGTCTACTTATCAAAATTGGGTTTGAAATTTCGGTTATGCGTAAAGAAGATCATAGCATCCCTACAATGTCCATCGTAAAATGATATCAATTAATTCTAAATTATCCTAAAATCTCTTGCTTAAATTGTATTTTTTTAATTAAATTTTAATATTTATTTATTGAAAGAATTTTAGATCTACCCTACCATTTTGTGAAATTTCTAAAATCTTTCTCACCTCAAAAGTATTCAAAAAACCTATCCATTCACTTGAAAAGGCTCTATCGTTGAATTAATTTTGTATTTTATTGTTACTCTTTAATCTCTAATTAAATTTTTATGAGAAAAATTGGAGGTATTCCCCACCATTATGTGAAATTCTTAAAAACTTTTTTTATCTCAAAAGTATTCATAGAATTCATTCGTTTACTTACAGAGGCCATTGTCAAATTAATTAAATGTCTTTTATGGAAAGATTTTTTTTATTTATTGAAAATATATCTAAATTTTTTGCTATTTAGATCAAATTTAAAAGATTTTCTCTCCTAAAAATTTATTAAAGAATCATCCATTTATGATTATTAAGAATTTCATTTTCAGATTTTATTTAATTTTTTATTATAGAAGTTTTATTATTTCTAATCAATTTTTTTTACTTTTTACTTTATTAAAAAATATATAAATTTTCACCATGTGACCCAAATTTAAAAATATTTTCTCACTTAAAAATTTCTTTAAAAAAACCAACCATTTATGATTATTAAAAATTTTATCTGTTTGATTTTATTTAATTTATTCTATAAAGTTATTTTTTTTAACTTGAAAATAAATTTCAATTTTTAATATCACAATTTAATTTAAATTTTTTCGCAGGTTAAATTTATAAAAGTTCCTCTCTTAAAAATTTCTTAACAAATCAAACCTTTGTGATTTTTAAGAATTTATCATTTGATAATTGTCATTCATTTTCAAAATTTCCTAAAGTTTTTAATTTAATTTAAAATATTTCACTACTTAAGTTAAATTTAGATAATTTCTCACCTAAATTTTTTTAAAAATTTTAACTATTTGTAATTTTTAAGAATTTATCATTGGATAATCGTCGTTCATTTTCAAAGTTCCTAAAGTTTTTTTTATTATTGTTTTTGTTATTTTTATTATAAGCTGAAAACGAATTCCAAGACACAATAATAAAGGTGTTCAAAGAAAAGGCTATATGAAGGAAACAAGATTCTTCTCAAAACTTTTGGAGAAAGAAGCCTTAAAGCTGTTTAGAAGATCAAATAACATATTATAAATCATATAATTTATAAAAACCGAAAGCATAAGAAAACGTTTCTTGACCGATTGCACGATGAGAATATCCAAACCAACCTTTGCAAGCAAAGCATATAACAAACCCTGTTTGCTTGTCATTGCCTATGACCAACCGTAGTAATTCTTCCTTTCCCTAGGCTTTATCAACTATTACCATCAAATCATTGCTTAAAAGTTAGGCTTGGTTCAGGAGAGTCATCTGAAACCAAGGAAAATTTGATGAAGCTGATGAGATAATTCTATTTTCTTTTAGATAGAGGAAATTGGAATTTCATATATTAAACAGCAAGCAGATAACATAGGTAATTCTATTATCTCAGGCAACATTATAAAGTGCATTGGCATTTTTCACCTTTACTTTTTTTGTCTAAATGCTAATTTTAAGATCTAATGGTGGCCAAATTTATTAAGCAAATGCCCATTTTATTTATTAGTAAATTATCATTAATATTGGTTTGTAAAAAAAAAAAAAATTGTTCTATTTATTTCTATGGAAATCAAATATTTTTATTACTTTTTCTCTTTTCCATTGGAAAGTAGAATACAAATAATGTACATGCAACAGCTTTCAACACTGTTTAATAAGACCAATAGCTAATTGAATTCCCCTATGCCTTTTGTTTCAGACATAGGAATACAGGCATTAAAGCACTAATGTGTATAGAACTGAATCCACAATGAAACATAAAATAAGAAAAAAAATTAGCTGTGTAGATAAACTTTGAGCAAAAGAAGATTAAAAATATATATGTTTTTAGGCACCTTTCTTTTTACTGTGTATAAGATGTTGATGTCCTTAGGAATCTTCTGTTGTGTAATCATCTTTTCAGCGTATATTGTGTAATGTTTTCTGTTGTTGATTCGGTTGGTTGGTTGGTTGTGTCTGGTGTTGGAAATTGCTTAGGGGAGGCAGGGTGGAGGTTGGCGGTATGAGTGGAAGTAGGCTTAAAACAGTCTGATGGTACTGGTCTTTGGGACTATGTTTCCTGGTCTTTGGGATTGTGTTTTACTGTTGCTGGGTTGTAACGGTGGTGGTGGTGGTGGTGGTTAGGTTCTGGAGGGGGTTTTAAGCAAGTGGTTAAATCACTAACTTTTAAAGTAATGACGTCACCAAACTTCAATCTAGAAGCATATCTCTTTGATGTTGTTTGATCTTGGTTAAATTTATAGCTTTAGTTATGTTTTTGTTAATATATTTTAGTCAAATCGTCGATTCTATATTTGTATTTTTTTAAGGTTTTAAAAGTTTTTGAAAATATAAATTCAGAAACTTTAAAAAATTTCTAAAATTGTAAATCTGCAGCTTTTAGACGTGCGAACCCAAAAACTTTAATTTTGGAAAGTATAAATTTTTAATTGAAAATCGACGTTTATATGACTTATGTCATTGTTTATTTAGCATTCTTCATCTCAAAATTTTTTCAAATTTTAATTTTTTATTTTTACAATGTACAAGATAAAAAATGTATTTTTAAAGATTTAAGGTTTGTGATTGAAACGCCTGGGGAAGAAAGGAAAAAAAAAAAAAAAAAGAAAGAGAAAGAGAAAGAAGAGTAGAAAATGGTGTATGAAGGGCTAGAAGGTAAATTAATAAGGTATTTAAATAATTTTATTTAAGGTCAATTTTGTAATAAAAAATTTGAGTGTGAAAAAAATTTATTGGAGTTTATTTAAAAGCACTCCTAAAAATATCTCTTTTTAATGAAATGAATATTTTGCCCTTAAAATCTTAGGTATCCACATCAAATACCAAAATAATAAAAAATCAACTTACATGATGGATAGATTTTAGCAACCTAAAATATAACACATATAAAAATAATACAAAAAAAAAAAAAAAAAAAAACGAAGATGATACGATTTAGAATTTTAATATATTAATTCATATGCAGCAGCGTCATATTAATTCATCTGTGGTAGCTTTTCTGTTTGGGTCATATTAATTCATCTGCTGTAGGCTTACTTTTGAAAGTTTGGCATTTCTATTTGTACTAATAATTAACCTGGTTTGGTGCACTTCGCAGAAGAACGTGATGGCAGACGACCCTGTTTTGATTAACATAACTGAAATGATAGCAAAATTATCCCCAATACAACATGAAAGTTGCATTTGCAAAGTACCTAATTATCTTCGCATGGTAGATGAGAAGGCCTATGAACCACAGCAACTTGCAATCGGTCCTTACCACCGCGATAAGGTTCACTTAAAAGCAATGGAAGAGCATAAGTTTCGGTATCTTCAAAAGCTACTTGAAGAAAGAAGGGAGATCAATAATGTCTCAAAATATGTTAAGGCAATGAGAGAATTAGAGACAAGAGCTCGCAATTGGTATACAGACCCTATAAATCTTGAATCAGATGATTTCATCAAATTGATGCTCCTTGATGGTTGCTTTATTGTTCAGCTAATTCGGATGTATTTTGACGTTTCATTGAGGGTGGACAATGACCCCATTTTTAAGGTGGCAGGTTTGCGTTACTTCTTACGCTGTGATTTGATATTACTTGAAAATCAAATTCCCTTTTTTGTTGTATTGGAGTTACTTGGGATGATCGGGATTTCCGATGAGGAAGGTTTCACTAGAATGATTGGGGAATTCTTGCAGCCAGAATTACCAGATCCAAGGTTTTTTGAAGATGGTGTAAAGTCGATCGGTGAAATCAGACATCTACTGGACTTGATACATGAATACTGCCGTCCTTCACCTATAGAAATTAACGCGTATCGAAGTATGGAAGGAAAGGAAACCGTGCTCACACGTTGTGCCACGGAACTCAAAGAGGCTGGAATCAAGTTCAAAAAGGTGGAGGGAAAGAGCTTGTTTGATATTAAGTTTGAAAAAGGGACTCTGAAAATCCCAACCCTGGTAATTGAAGACAACACAAACTGTTTGCTTCGAAATCTCATTGCCTTGGAGCAGTTTTCCCCGTGCGGAGATATAACTCATATCACGGATTATGCCGTATTCATGGACCGTCTTATTAACTCTGCAAAAGATGTGGAAATACTCACACGCTGTGGAATTGTTAACAACTGTTTAGGTGATGATGAAGCAGCTGCCACCGTGTTTAATAGGCTTGCTGACTCAGTAATCTACTCCGAAAAATACTACTACCGTGAAGTATCTGACAAAGTGAACGCATATTGCGGAAGACGCCGGAACAAATGGCTTGCCAAATTGAATCACAACTATTTCAACAGTCCTTGGGCACTTATTTCCGTTCTTGCTGCTGCAGTCATCCTTCTACTTACCCTCATGCAAGCCATATTTTCTGGAATTGCTCTGTAAAAGTAAGAAATTATACTCTCTTTTATTATGTATTATATATATTTTATGTAAATTACGGAAATTACTTTTTAAAATACAATTATTTGCTGTGAGTGATGTGAACTTATTATTATAAGGTGGTACCGCTTATCGTTTCTGTAATATTATTAGTCTAAGAGTGATTCGAAAGTAATTGATTATTGCTTGCTGCTTATTCATCACCGTCCAGTGTGTTTTCTTATATCAAACATAAATATAGGCATGTTCAAGTGAATGAATGTGTACCAAACAGCCAAATTTTATATTGCAGTACAAAAAAAATGAGTTTACCATTGCTTTCATAAAGCTTCTCACAGCAAAGCAAATGCATTGATAGATATGGTGATCCACAAAAATAAGAAATGAAATAATTTGATACATAAAATACTAACCTGAGATTCCTTTGTAGCACCAGTAATAACTGATGATACATTTGGATTTGCAGCACACCATGCAAATGCAAGCTGAGCTAAAGGTACACCAAGTTCATCTGCAATTGGCTTCAGTCCATTAACTTTCTTCAGCACATCATCAACTAGTGATCGGTTAGCAAGATTCTACACAAGAAGACAACATAATTTAGTGGCTTACTGATGACAGAAGTGGAAGGTTGTTAAAATTAACCGCACAAAGCAGGTTCAAGAATCCATAAAGAAATGAAGCTATATTATCAAATATAGAGCCTGTTTAGCCTGTTTAGAGCTTCTATAAGAAGTGCTATTGTCGAGCTGTTCCAAAAGTGCTCTAAAGTTAAAATAGCAAACTTAATACATAAGTGCCGTAGAATGTTGAAAAAACCATTTGACAGTTTTTATATATTTTTAATAACTAAAAAAATAAAATAATCAACTTTATTAAATTATATTACATGTTTTTAGGTGAAAAAAGAAAAAGATATTTTTATTAATTATAATAAAAAATAAATGAATTCAATAAAAAATAGATAAAATAAAATAAATAATATGAAATAATATAATTCTCCTTATAATTTTGTAAATTATTGAAAAATAAAGTGAATGTAAACACTGTTCATCAAATATTTGTTATTAAAATTAGTATTTCTTGCTGAAGCTTTAATTGATAGCTTCATCTAAAAGCTTAAATTTGCTTCCCCATGGGCTAAAAATTCTTAAAATTTTGAGAGTCAAACACTTAGCTTCTTCTTTTGCAATAGATAAGCTCTTTCATAAGCTAGGCCGAACACACATAACCCAATAATACTTGTGCCCATGTTAAGTTGTTGGAGTTTCACAATCATCTCTAAAGATGCTAACTGAAAAGTTAAACAGTGCAAAATATGAAAAGCTAAGTTTGCTTGGATTTTATATCCATGGCACATGCACCTATCACTATACACCAGAGTTTTGATCTTTATGCTCTTTTGTTGGATAAGAGACCCAGAGTTTTGATCACATGTACATATGTAAGAGATGATATTAATTACAAGCATGGATCCATAAACAAGATGTAAGATTCATGAGAAGCAAAAAAAATCAATCAGAATAATGCATCCATCATGAGAAAAAAATCAGTTGTCACAAAATTTCTATTATAATTCTGCAGATAAGGAGCAAGGAACCAAAATAACTATGAATTGTTATCTTCAACAGTTAACATCGAAACAAGATCAATAAACAGGGCAAGATCAACAGTCAGAAATCAACTTTAAAGTGATTCTTACTTTGAAATTTTCTAATGCAAACCGACTATCAACTGGTATCATTCCTTTGCTGTATTTTCCAGCAAGAACTCCAGATGCAAGTGGACTCCATGTGGTAAGACCTAGGCCATAGTTGGTGTACAGAGGAAGGTACTCAGATTCAACCTGCATCCATACCGAAAATGATGAAACAAACCAGAGAGTGCTGAAGGAGGCAGGAATAAAACCATTCCCAGTAAACCCAATAGCCGTAAAAGCTTTAAACATAATACAAGGGCAAGTCAAAGAACTAAGTAATCAGGTCATTTGTTTTAGTTAGTCTTGCACGTTCGGGATGCATGACCATAAGTCTCCTCCACCATTTGGTTACTCATGCAAAAGCCATTCAGATATTAAAAACCATTTCTAGACTAAAGACTGATGAATTGGGTCAAGCATTGTCATTAATCATTGTATTTTTCAAGAACAAAGTTGCTTGCAATTATTTTTTCCAACAAGTATCTTCTTTTTTCAAGTTTTTTATGACACAAACACAAGAATAATGAGAATTCTTTTAAATATATATGCATAATTGCCAAAACAAAACTCATATAAAATTAAACTGCAGAAATATGCCTCTTGGTGTTATTACTAACGCTTACCTTGTGCCTGGTCAATAAGTTATACTCAGGCTGCTCCACGATTGGGCCTACCAAGTCCAACCTCTCTGCTACTCCCCATGCTTCAGTAATCTGTTGTGCAGACCACTCACTTGTCCCCCAATAAAATGCCCAACCCTTATCAATCACATAATTCATTGCCCTGACTGTCTCCTCAATAGGAGTCTGCGAGTCTGGCCTGTAATGGAGATCACGTCCATGAACACAATGTCAAGTTTCTCAAAACGAAAAATCCTTTTAAATTAAACTCCACCGTCAAACCACGGAAACAAGAACTCCATCCATGAAAAGACAGACCATGATGAAGGAACCTCGTCATTGGATAAAATTTTTTTTTTTGTTATTTTATTTCTAACAAATTAATTGATTTTTATTTACTATTTTATAGCAAAAAAGAAAAAATTTTATTGTATTGAAAATTTTTTATAAATACTTTAATATATTAGTAGTATTTTAAAAGAAATCCTTTCACTTAGAGATTTTATAGGTATTATTACTTTGAATACTTTTAAAATTTCATCATTGGATAAAAATTTTCTTTTTTTATATTTTACTATTTTTATTAATTTTTTTGTTATTTTTCTATTTTTATTCTAAAAAAAATTATCAATGGTTAGAAACTATTTTTTTACTATTGATATCATAGTCATTAATTATTAATTTTTATTTTTATCATTATTTTATAAGATTTATTTCAAATTTTAACAAAATTATAAAAAGTTTTAACTATGTATTTCATTATTTATTTTTATTTTTTATTTTCATTTTTACTAACTATTATTATAAAAACAACAAAGATTTATTCTAATAAATAAATTTAAACATTTTAACATACATAAAAATTAATAATAAAATTCTAAATAATAAAAATAATATTAAAAAAAAAAATTTTTACTTGAATTAGATCGATCAATAGTTTGATCAACATCAATTGGGTTGATCAATGTCGATTTGAGTTTATTCTTCTTGACTGGTCAACGGTCAGAAAGGGGAGCAGGTTAGTGGGTTGTTGAGTGAACTCCGGATCAAGTACGTATGGATCTTCAAGGATCAAAACGACATTGCATTGTTTTGGCCTTTCTCCAAATGGCGTCGTTTTGGTTAATCTATTCACTATAAAAGGCGACATTTTTTTTTTTCAACTTCCTCCCCTTTGCAGAAAAAAATTTTCCCAAGTCCAAAAAAAAACTCCCAAGGCTTTTTGCCACAATCGAAATATGACGCCGTGGCACTGAGCTGGTCGTCGTGCCTTTGCCATCGGTGGTCACTGGCTGCCATCGTTGGTGATCGGTAAACTTCAAAAACCTACCAAAAAAAATCCTTCCGGCCTCCTAAGCCCTGATTTAACCTCCTTTTTGCAAGAAAATGCCATGAATGGTTTGGACAGGGGCTGAAATTTTCGACCAAAACTTTTTTTTTTTGTTTTCGTTTATGACGCTATTGGTCCCCATTTCCAGGGGCTGTTTGTGTGTGTGTGATTGTGGTGTTTTGTTTTGATTGTGGTTTTAACGAAAGTTTTTTTTTTGGTTCGGTAGAACCTTTTTTTTCTTTTTTCTTTTTTGGCAAGGTTTCTTCTTTTCTTTTTTTTTTTTGGTCAAGGTTTTCACTTTTTTGTTTGTGGGTTTTTCTTGGATGCTTTTCTCGTTTGATGGATGCTCTATTTATAGAGCCAAGCAAGATCCAAGATCCTAGAACCCAGAAAATTTGGGATTTTTTTGTTGAAAATTGGCTTAAAGTTAGGCCAATGTCAGGAGGTTGCCGGTGATTGGGATTTTGGACTTTGGGGATGGGTGCGTTTAATGCACCAGATCATTTGGCAGAGGAGAAGCTAGAAAAGAAAAAAGAAAAATAAATAATACTAATAATAATAATAACAATAAATAAAAATAAAACACAATGGGTGTTCACAAATAACACATTACAAAGTGGGAATTCATTGAGCATAAGAGAGAACTGAAATTACAGTTTGCAGCAGTGTAAGTAAAAGGATCAGAGAAGCCGCCAGAAAGGAAATGAATGCCCATGGACTGTTAAAATACTTGTCCTTCAAGTTCTCCATCCATCTGTCCCATTTCGCCATCCATCTATTCCAAGTTCTACTGCGATGCTCGTTTATCTTGTTGAATACTTCAGTGTAATAGAAATTGGGGGAGATGACGACACGGAAGCCTAGAGAATTAATCATGGTGGCAACTGCTTTATCATCACCTAACATGTTCTCAATAATTCCATGTTGGCAAAGTATTTCCACATCTTTTGGAGAGTCAATAAGGTAGTCCATAAATAACATATAATCGGTGGCATGCTTGAGATCTCTGTCTTCTAGGAACAGCTGCTCATAGGCAATGAGATTTCGGAGGAAAGGTTCCGTATCGTCTCCTATTTTAATTTCAGGGATATGTAGAGTCCCATTTTCAAACCGTATATCGAACATGGTATTTCCATCGACCAATTTGAATTTGATTCCAGCCTCTTTGAGCTGTGTGGCACAACGTATGAAATTCAATTCATTCTTTTTTTGTGAAGTTGAAGGATGGCAGCAACTGTGATAACTTAAGTTGAGTAAACGCTTGATATATGATCTAAAGCAATTCCGGTCTCTAGGGTTCGCTTCACCGTCCTTCATTTCTGAAGTTGAATTATCTTCTCTACGGGCCTCCACTTCCGAAGTTGAAGGATGAAAGCAGCAATGATACGCGAAGTCGAGTAAATGCTTGATATATGATCTAAAGCAATTCCGATCTCTAGGGTTCTCTTCACGGTCCTTCTTTTCTGAAGTTGAATTATAGGGTCTGAATTTCTTTTTACGGGCCCTCACTGCGGAAGTTGAAGGATGAAAGCAACAGTGATACATGAAGTCTAGTAAATGCTTGATATCTGATAAATTCGGGGACTTCAGATCACCTTCCGGGCGCCTTTTGCCTGGTACTCTATTGCCGAATATCGTAAAGATTGCTTCCACGAAGATCATATCTTGGTCAGGCCTGCTCCTCTCAATCATACAAAATAACTCCCAAAGGACAAAGAAGGGAAGTTGATTTTTGACTAATAACATGTCATAGCATAAAGCAAGTCATAAACCACTGCTGTAACAAGGTACCACATCGTACAAATTTAATGGACGCTTTTTTAAAAACAAGCGAATTATCTGGACAATAAAGACACCATCAAGGAGCAAGACTTTAACGAAATCATCTGTTTCCAGATCACTCGCAGGTGCATACCATTTGCCAGCTTTATCTTTTAATTCTCTCATTTTCATCACATACACTGAAACATCATTCTCTTCTATTTCTTCAAGAAGCTTTTGAAGAAAGAGAATCTTTTGCTTTTCCATTGCTTCTAAGTGATCCTTACCCCGGTGATATGGACCGATTGAAATTACCTGTGGTTCGTATGCCTTCTCGTTTACCTGACGAAGATAATTAGGTACTTTGGAAATGCAAGGCTTAGATGTTTTTTCTGATAAACTCTCAAGCATTTTGCCTATGTCAATGGTAACAGGGTCTTCCAATAGTTTCTTCTGTAAATTGAGTAAAACTATGTTAGAAATAAAATGCAAAGTTTTCATAGTATATCTAAATTAAAATATTAGTTATTTGTCAGTAATTTTTATTTTTTTTTTAAAAATCTTGTTCTTTTTCTCCTTTCTGTTCTCATTCATTAAATTACTGTTAATCATTAGTAATACTTAAATTATGAGTATTCATTCAGTTGGTTCAATTAATTATGAATCAAATTATTTAAAACTGAATTAATTAAATTAAATTATTTTATTTTTGTTAACTGAACTTATTTATTAATTTTAAAATTTTAATTGATGAAATTTAATTTGGTTAATTTTAAAATTAACCAAATAATAAAAAATATTTAAATTAAATCATATTTTAAACTCTTAATTTTTCATATTTGAAACAAACTTATTAAATAAAATTATCCAATAAAATATTTAAATAACAAAAGATTTTGTTAAAAACTCTAACAACTTTAAATAAAATGATCAATTTATCAGTGAAGAGCAATTCAATACTTTTCTGGGCTTTTTGGCTAAGATAAGTGAAGATCAATTCAACCCATCTGAGAATTTCAGCTCATTTACCATCTTTGATTTCCTGAATTTTAAATTACGGTTTAACAGAAAAAAACCTATATTAATGAGACTGGCATGATCAGTTGTAATTTTTAGATTTAAAGATACGAGATACTTGTTCACAGAGCCGTGCCATGCCTTGCAAAGGTGTTTCACTTGGTTTCTTTGTTGGAAGTTGCAAATAGCTACAAAAAATATGTATAAGAAATTGAAATTATGGACTTTATATAGGCATTCTTCGAGCTCAAATTTCCTGTATCAAAGCAATGAATTTTCAACAAATACAATTGGCTGCGACCAGGAGGATAGTAATTGAATGATAATTACAAAACAAGCAATAATGTAATGATCTGGTCACTCTGGACGCAACTTGGTCCTTTTGGAGAATAAAAATTTTTCATATTTCACTCTAAAATATATATATATATATATAAATTATGTATGCTTTGATCAGTGTGTAAGTTTATTTTTTCCTCAAGATGATAACATATGTCTCTACACCGATATTAACTCTACCATCAAGACAAATTCGTTATCTCAAGTCAACTTTTTGTTAACATCAACTTTATGTCAATTTTATTAAAATTATTTTAATAAAATAGATTTTATTCCCTTTACTAAAGTTATTTTATTAATTTGTTTGTATTGCTTTATGTCTTTGTCATAGATTTTTATTTTTTATTTTTTCATTTGAGGCTAGATAATTCCCTTTTACTCATATATTATCTGGTTCAAATTATATCTCCCAATTCAGTCATATATTTTATGGCCCACAATAATCAAACTAAACATGTTCAAATACAATAATTAATCAGATTGTTATCTTCAAAACACTTTTTTTTACGCCAAACTCATGACTACCAACGAAGTAACACATTTTTTATAGAAAATTTATTTTCATATCAAAATAGTGCGCTGGGTTATGAAAGCCTATACTCTTCCGTTTCCACTATTCAGCCTTTGAATAGAAAATTTTATCATACAAATAATATATGATAAAAATTCATTTCTAGTCAAAACTATTTTTTAATTGATAATAAAATTTATAAAATAATCCAATCACGAGTTCACTTGTCAAATAATGAAATGGGTTAGATCACGATTCCTTTTAACCTTTTAGTAACATAAAGTACAAACCTCTCTTAAAAATGTGTCATCTTTTATTCATTATCATGGTTAATAGTTTTTTTGTTTTTATTGTCAAGTTCCACGCTTATTCAAGAATCATATAACTTCTTCAGTGAAATTGAAGTAAATGATATGTTTTATTTCTTGCATAAAATAAATAAAGTATTTAATCAATAAGATATAAACATTGAAACAATATATAAACTAATTACTATGAATCATGCACTTAATTCTTTCAATGAAGATCTACAATTTCAAAATTTTTTTTAATGCCTTGAAGCAATTCTTGAGAATTTATTTTGATTTAAATAATCATGGTCTTACAAATATAAAACCGGCAAGTACTCCATGTTCAATTCTAGGATTATGTTTGTTTCATTTATTTGCCATATAATTCACATAATGTGTATTTAAACCATCAAATGAGAAAACCCATGGAAGTATAAAATGAATTTAACACAGCTGAGTAATTTTTTTCCTTCATTATATTTGTTTTAAAAGACATGAAAAACTTAATAGTTACTTATATATATATATATATATATTTATTGTTAGAACTCACAAGAATGGATATATTCTTTATATCTTTAACATTACAAAGATTTTCATGGCATTACAATTGAACGTGCCCTTTACATGTGTATTTCATCACACAAAGTAGTTTTTTAACATAAACTTAAATAGATTATTGTACACACATGAATATTAAACAAAAGCGAAATTTCTTTCAAGTCATATACCAATTTCTCATGATAGAATCTTAAATATAATAAGCAAATCTCTTATATATTATCAATAACAATATATAAAAGTTATCTCTAACTTTTAATTTCCTGTCATATCATCAATTTCACTATTCATTTAGATGAAAGTCTTTTCTTATAGTTTCTGTTGGATCTCAAATTTCACTAAATTTATAACTGTGGGATGTTTAGAGGTTTTTTAACTTCTTAAATTGAATTTCAACTTGGATCACGTTGTCGATGAGGGGGAATATACAAATATTGGAAAAGAAATCATGAGACTTAGTCCTAAGATTGAAATGAAGGACAAACTTTATATAAATATCATAACATCTTTGCCCATGATTAAATGCACCTTTTCCACGTTACCAATCGATGAAAGCTAGGAAAAAAGTGAATCAGCTAGTACAACCAACTACAATACAAGATACCATTCGAGAAATCATCCAACACCCAAAAAGTGAAATAATGTCTAGAAGTAGCCAAGCAACTCTAAAGGTATAAATAATTGGCAGCTGTTTAATATTATAAAATAATAATTTTATTATAAAAATTCTAAAAGAAAAGTTTTTGGATATGAATTTTGGGTTAAACTTTTGAAAAATTTTGTAAAATTGATCCATTTAAAGAGATTCTAAGAAAATCTGCATAATGATTCCTAAGAAATCTTTAAAGGAAAAAAATTCATTTAATATTATCAACGTGTTGAAACATTTTAAAAGTTTTCCAATAATAAGGTTCTAATTTATTTTTTAAAATAAAAAATGAAATAATAATAAAATAAAATAAAATATTGTTAAAAGTGGAAAATGAAAATAAAAACAAAAAACCAGATTTGTGATAATAAAAATAGAAAAAGAGAAATTAAGAAAATTATTTTCAAGTATCAAAATTAAGATTTTTTGTCAAAATTAAAGGATAATACATAATTAATTGGTACCATTTTTAAAATGGATACTGTGAAAGTGCTAATCATTCCCAATATATAACAGTATTTTTGCCCAAACTGCTTTAGTATATTCAAAAATTATCTTTTTAATAAATTTTAATTAATTTTTGAAATCTTATTAAAAAGATAAGTTTTAATAGATGACAAATCACACTTAACTAAAAAATATTAGTGGCAACTCTATATTTTTAAATTCGTCAAGCAATCCTCAAAACAGTTGTACAAAACAAAAATTTAAACATAATAATTATAACTTTTGTTATAAACTTTTACAAATAAACATTTAAACATATTTAAATAGTTATAACTTTTCCATTATTAACTATTATAAATAGTTATAACTCTTTTATTATTAACTATTATAAACAAACATTTTTGTTCAAAATATAGTTATTCAAAATATGAATAACTAATATAAACATTAAATTTATTTATCAAAATAAAAATTTAATGTACACCATTCTAAATTACAACAGCAAATAGCTAAATATATTGTATGAGAAATGGAAATTATGGACTTTATATGGGCATTCTTCTAACTCAAATTTCCTATGTCAAAGCAATGAATTTTCAACAAATACAATTGGCTGCTACTGGATGGTCAGTACTTGAATGATAATTACAAAACAAGCAATAATGTGCTTGACCTGGTTACTCTGGACACAACTTGATTCTTTTGGAGAGTAAAAATTTTTTATGTTTCAGTCTCATATATATATAATTATGTATATTTTGTTTCTGTAAGTTTGTTCTTTCCTCAAGTTGAAAACACGAGCCTCTTCATCAACACCAACTCCAATGTCAAGACAAGCTTATCATTTCTAGTTAATTTTGTGTCAGCATTAACTTTATGTTGACTTTATTAAAGTTACTTTAATAAAGTAAATGTACATCAATACCAACTCCAATATCAAAACAAGTTTACCATTCCAAGTTAATTTTATGACAGCATTAACTTTATGTTAATTGTATTAAAGTTACTTTAATAAAGTAGATTACATCCACTTAGATTACATCCACTTTATTAAAGTACTTTATTAAAGTTATTTTACTAATTTATTTGTATTATTTTATATATTTGTCATGAACTCCTTAATTATATCAAGATCTATTCCTTTATGTTTTTCATTAAGATCACACAACTAGAGATAATTATTATATGTAAATTATTGAAAATACTTTTTAAAATACAATTATTTGCTGTGAGTGATGTGAACTTATCTTTTGTGCAATATTTGTTTAAGAGTGATTTGAAAGCAATCGGTTATTGCTTTCTGCTTTTTCCTAAAACTTTATCTTGCTATTTTCTTTTACTTTATTTTTTATTTTCTTATCATCTACAATTCAAAACAAATGAAAAACAGACAAAGAAAATCAAAAGCCCAAAAAGTAAAATCGACCTTTCACTTGTTCAAATTTTCATTATTATCTCACTTTCACATTTCCATTCCCAAGTCCCCACCACATTTGCTTCTTCTACACAAAATTACGTAGCCCTCCCCCGTGCATTATCCCCAACTATCTACATATCGGTGCACGCGTACCATCATCACCATTCACCATTGATTTCCTCTACGTGTCCAATCAGACAAGCGTCTTGCGCGTTGGTGTCTGTGGATCTCGCATCGCCGGCAACTTTGACAAATTTCTAAGGATTTGAT